TGGAGGAGGTGGGGGGGGGGGGTCTGGGAGCCTAGGTTCTGTTCCTGATTTTGCCATTAAAACTTACAAAATGATTGTGGAAAAATCAACCTTTGTGCACCTGTAAAAGATGGGATGATAATTTTGTCGCTTATTTAATCAATCTCTGTGTCAAGTGCTTTGAGGCCCACTCATGTTCAAGATTATATAATGAAGAGTTACGACAAATAAACTCACAGAAGTGAGAAGACAGATGGCCAGTTGGGGACGGAGAAGCACAAGTGGGCAATTTTTATAGCTATTTGGGCTTCCTTACCCCAAGTTGGCCAAGATAGGATCACAGGAACTAAAATATGTTATTGAAAGTGAATGCAGAAAAATTTCACTTCCATTTTTCCAAAATGGAATAGGGTCAAAAGCTAAACTCCTGATTCCCACTCTGTCCTTGCTGCTCCCCCTCCCTCCCAGAGCTGGAACACCACCAATCAGAATCAGCTGTTTGTGGCGTTCCAGTTTGGGGAAGGGAAGAGGAGGAGCAGGGACAGAATGCGAATCAGGTGATTCGCAGCTCCTGTGAAAGTGCTGGGAGAGATGGAGAAAAGCAGGTTAAGTGTGGTGCTTTGGTGCCCCAGTGCACGAGGCACATAGGGGAGGGGGACAGCCAGCAGGTCCGCAGGCTGCAGGTGGAGCCCCAGCGGGCTGCAGGCTACTGTGGCCCACTGCGGTAGAGGGCCACTCGTGTGGCCCACCGACTGTTTGTGATTGCCCTTTCCTGATCTAGTGTATAGGGAGAATGGCTGTATCCTTATATTGAGAAGACGACCTGGAGAGCAAATATGCTGTCAGACAGTATAGCCCATGGCTTGGTTACAGGATGAACAGAGTGGGTTTACCTAGCCGGCCGCATTCTTCCCGTTTGGTGAAGTACTTGAAACCATTAGCTGCTCTTCGCTCTGCCTTCTCATGTTTCTTCACATGCCAGGGCAGTTTGGTGGTGATGTTGGTCACGAAATAGCAGCCAGGCCGAAGACAGTGGTAATGTCCTCGCATCCTGAATTCACAGTGCTGTAGAAGAACCAATGAGATAGGTTGTTTTAGACTTATCCAGCAACTGTGGTCTTAAGTTGCCCACTGAAGGTCACAGAGCTGTTAATGTTACAGGTGGGCAAGGCCTCCAGTTCACTGTCTATTCTTCAAGGGGCACAGGGTATTTGCTCCTCACCTTGCCAATCTAATTTCAAATCACAGGACATCCATCATTTCCCTTGGGAAATTATTCCACTATCTAACATGGAGCCTTCACTGATACTCAACCTTCATCTGTCTGTTTCATTTCATCTCCTACCCAGGCAATTTCCTTGCCTTACTTGGCGTTTACACTAGAAATAGGCCCCAAAATCAACACTTTTAAACACGCTTGCTCTGAACAAATGCAAACTGCCTATATTTTGATCTGGAGCCAGTTCCCCAAATTCCAAGTCTCACAGCCTCTAGTTTATACCCTTCCAATAGCTCTGTGCATCAGAGACCAGATTCATACAGCGGTTCACATTAGGGATGAATTGACCCCAGTTTGTTTTCCTGTCTTTGCCACACTTTTACCTTTTCCTTTTCTCCTGCATCCTTTCCCACTCCTCCACAGCCCCTGCCTAGTCTACCTCTTTGGGCACTCTTCTTGGATTACTCTTACCTGGTTTGGACAGAGACACTGCAGCGAGTAATAAGCAAACTGGTCTCGCACATTCACCAGGTTGTTGTTGGGGTTGATGTGGTCCAGGCAGTGGGACTCTGCTTTGCCAGAGGTTTTACACACATACTTGCAGTTCCCAAAGAGACAATGGAAGTGGAACTTGTTGGCGTACTTGCAGTCCGTCGCCAGACAGGGGTCACTGGAACACAGCCAAAATCCAGACATCATCCTCATTTCCTCCCTTGCACCTTGGCTTCTTTCCCAATATTCACTAATTGAGGGGTAGCCCAAGCGCAGCCTGGGCCACACACACCTCAGAGAACTCCCATAGCTAGCCCTGACAGGCAGTGCACACTCTTGACAGGAGTGTATGAAGAGGGAGCATTGCATGCCAGGGCCTACAGCCTCTGTGACTCCTTTCAGATCAGGATAGGATCTGCTGACTCTCCCTTCCTATTCTGAACCTTCCTGTTAATGGATGAAGAGAACTGTGATTAGCTCCATTTTTTGCACAAATTAGGTGAAACACTTGGGCGGCATATTGCAAACTGCCAGAGTAGCCCTTGGCAAAGCAAACTTAGAACAACCTTGATTTATTTGATGACCTAAATGGCCTTGGTGCCTCTCCCAGGGCAGACTGTATGGTGGCAGTTTGTGAAGTCTAAGGGTTGTCACAACCACCCCGCCTTCTGGATTACAGGGTGTAAATTGCAGTGCATGCTAGCTGGGTTGTTACTCCCCCAGGTGGTTGCTGCAGGCGCCAACTAAAAGGTACTTGTTTCAAGAGGACTATGTCACTGCTAATTAGGTACCTTTTAGATTGCACCTCCAGTGTCCACACGGGGGAGTTGCAGAACAGCACGTGCATTCGTGTGGCAATTCATATCCCCGTAGTCTAAATTGTGAGGTCATATAGATATAACCTCAGAGGAATCTCTAGGCCTTACTATTTAAGGTGGCCAAATACTTTTCTTGGGCATTCATGTCACAGTCCCCAGTGCTACCTGCCCTGCTACAGGAATTTCCTGTAGTAAGGTTGCTTGAAAGAAGACATAAGTGGGTCAATTTATGACCCAGAGAGACATGGCCTACCAGCCTACGCACACGACGGAGAGCTAAAGTTCTAATCCCAGATGTGACCGAGACTCTTTCATTGGCCCTGGACAAGTCACTTGATCTCTCTGCCTCCTTTTCCCCATCTGTAAAATAGGAATAACACTTGCCTGCTTCCAAAGAATGTTATGAAGCTTCATGAATGATTGCAAAAGGCTTTGGAGCAGAAAGCTCTAACGAGGTACTAAGCGGTGTGGTATTGTTATTTTACAGCTACACTTAGGCAAACACTTAGCCCCTGAACTCCCAGCTAAATAATAGAAAGTAACACTGCAAATGGGAGCAAAGCACATCAGGAGATTCACTCCTATTGTACAGCAGTCCAGTGTGGATGCTGGAGCAGGAAGGCAGGAAGTAATAGACATCTGATCCCTCTTCCTGGTTTGATCAGTGTCTCAGCCCTTTCTTTTTCCCTAGTTTATCATTTTTATTGACAAAAAGGAAGATGCACTGTCCAAGATACTGATTTGATGTTTTAACAAAAAGAGGCAGTAGGTGTACCGTTAATGTGGGCAGAGCCGAGAGCAACCCTGTGTGTTTCCTTCTCTAGTGTCTATAGAAACCCATTCCTAGTTACATCAGTCTTTGGCTTTGAGCAAAACATAGCTGGAGGTGGCAAGTTTCACCTCGCTTCAAGTCAGAAATCACACACCAAATTTCTCCTAATTTTCACTATACATCACCCCAATTTTGCCCAAACTTGCTCCAATGTTGGCTAAATGTTGCCCAGACTAAGTTCATCAAACACTGTCTGAATCTAACTTCAAAACAAATCCTGGAACCAGGCAACCAGGGTTCTTACAGAAGCATTTTGTAGTGCTCTGATCCATACCATTTGGTCTCCTTGACAAAGCAAAGCCCAATACCTTTGCTTTCACACCCCTGGAGGTACAGCAAAATGGAGAGAACACATCAGCAGGTTTTACCCCCTACTGCCACTCTCTAAAAGAGATCCCAAATGTGTTCTAACATCCAGTTGGTTTTTTAAGTGCACAAGGAATCATTTGTTTGATTTTGGGATAGTTGCTTTCCTGCAAGATTAGGGATACGTGTGCACTGAGAGCAGCAAAAGGAAAGGAATACATCAATAAACCACCTCTCAGGCTATGTCTACACTGACAGCTTTGCTGGCAGTGCCTATGCAAATGAAGTGCAGATTAGCATACTGCCACGCTTCATTTGCATACTTTATTCAACCCCGTTTTGCACACAAAAAACCTGTGCACACTGCTTGTTTTTACGCAAAAACCCCTTGTGCAAAACCAGCTTGAATAAATTATGCAAATGAAGTGCAGCTATATGCTAATCTGCATTTCATTTGCATAGGCAATGCTGGCAAAGCTGACAGTGTAGACCAAGCCACCATGCAAAAGCCTCAGGTGAGCACCGAGTGGCTGACCATGCACCAAACTGAGGTGAAATGAGGAGGGAAAAGAAGGCGCAGGGAGGCTCCTGGGGCAAGCAACACAATCATCCCCTTCTTGTCCAAGGAACTCACTTCTCCTGGAACTGGAGGAATCCGGGTTTGACCTGAGGCTTGGCGTTCTCCAAAGAAGTTGTTGCCAAGGGTGATGTTGCCAGGTTAGGCACCAGTGTTGGGATCTGAGGCATCTGGGGTATGGTGGAAGCCAGCTGCTTCCAAGCTAGCAGCGTAGGGGCAGAGGGCACAGTCGCTGGGCTCGGAGTGGGCACATCCAGGGTGGGAGCACTTGCCATGGTGATGGAAGTAGTGGATGGTGATGATGGGGCCAGGGAAGTCTTGGTCTCAGCAGCACTTGGGAAGGGAGACTCAGGGTTTCCTTTCACAGCTCCACCCTCTGTTCGGAAGTGAAAACTGCAATGAGAAGAGACAACAGTTCACATCAGAGAGAGCAAGTGCACAAGGAGTCCTTGACTAAATGAAGCGGCAATTATGGAGAGGCTGGCTAAATGGTGACGAAGGGTCAGGGAAACATGGTAACAAGCTCAGAATACATGATGTGTACAAACCATGACCCAAATTTTGAGAGGTACAGAACAGCAGCTGAGTATCCCTAGCTCCTATTGACTTTAGGTATTCCCCAGGATCTGCTTACAAAGAGGGGCTAAGTCTACACTGGCACTTTACAGCACTGTAACTTTCTGGCTCAGGAGTGTGAAAACACACACTACTGGGGTGCAGCAAGTTACAGTTCTGTAAAGCACCAATGTGAACCAGGCTACGGCACCAGGAGCCATGCTCCCAGTGCTGTTAACTCCTCTCCCCGTGCAGGTGATTTATATAGACTGCTGGGAGTGCTCTCTCCTAGCACTCATGCCGTGGCCACACTTTCAGTTTAAAGTACCATCGCAGCTGAGCTTTAAACTTTTAAATGTAGACAGAGCCAGGGAATGACACAGCTGGCAAAGGGGCTGTAGTGTGGTGCAAAGGGCTAACGTTGAGGTGAGTCATACGGATCTAAAATCTTCCAGCCAGTGAGAACCATGAATCTGTGAAGGCATGGGAACTCCACGGCTTGGGACACTTGGATACAGACTGAAGAAAGCAATGGAAACTGCAACAGGAAACAATCCTTCCCTAGACAGAGCCAATGGCCTGCAGGTTTTTCCATCTGTTTGCTCTGAGTTTCCTTCCATTTAAAACTATTCAGACTTCCACAGTCATATGACCAAACCCTGAAGTCCTAGCTCAGTCCTTACTTGAGCAAATGTCCCATTGACTTCAGTAAGAAATGTTCTTGAGTAGGGACTGCAGGATGTGGGCCTTGGAAACTGGGGTAGAAAATATCTATTAGACTTTCTAATCTCTACCTCCAGATACTACAGGTGGAGCATGGGTCCAATCCTTCCTTCTCTGTTTTCCTTGCAGGAAAAATGGGGCCAATGTCCTTTATGCAAGTCTCACATTGGAGTCAGCTGCAGTTCTGGGGGTGGTATAATTTTTAGGATCTGGTCCATATACAAGTACTTTTTGCCTGAGCCTTGCCCATCCACCGCTTTGCAAAGCACTTTGAGGATGACAGAAAGGGTACGAGCTGAATTGCCCATGCTGAGAGGGACGTTAGGGCTGGGCAGACTGAATCCTCAGCTCTAAGCACCCTGCCTAAATGCAGGGGCAATATTTAAAGCAAACAGGGATCTAGAAAGTAGTTATTCTCCTGCGTTGGGTAATAAAGGAAGATGCTTTTTCAATGGGACTCTCAGAGACAAGTCAAAGACAACTGCAGTGGTCACCAGTGTTCCCTCTAAACTGCGCTGCAGCACAGCTTCACAGATGATTAACCAGCCCTGCCTAGTCAGTCCCTCCATGCAGGGAGCCACGAGTCTCTGACTGGGCAGGGCTGATTAATCACGTGAAGCTGTGCTGCGACACTGGCGGGCCCAATTAAACATGCAGCATTTGCCACTCTGCAATGACTGCAGCATTACCAACACAACTCAAGGGAGGTGCTGGTGTAGTGACTGGTGGGTTTTTAACTGTGCTCCCATCCATCCTTTCCATGTTGATAATTCTTAGTGAGCATTTGTATGATGCTGGGAAGCTGTGCTCCTGGTGCATCTGGGCAGTTGAAGGGAAAACAGGACTGGCCAGTTCTCAGCCCTGCTGACACTGCAAAGCAGATGAGACACACGCTTCCTAAAGGCTGAACACAATGCCTGTGCACACTTATAGTGAGTCATTGAAAATTAAAGAGCATGCCCAGCTATTCTGCAGGCAAGTCAGTTGTATATGTTTAAAACAAGAATGTGAATGCTCCAACTGCTGCCCTATCTGCCAATATGCAAACCCATATTGCATATTGGGTTTACAGATTGCATAAAGGCAGTTACAGAATGAACCCCCCCAGGCCCAACCCAGCCTGCCTATACTGTGTAACCTGAGGTTATCCTAGAGTGCATCTTTTGTTTCTTGATTCTCTACTTACTTGGCATGTTTGATGGCCCCATCCAGAGTGCTGAAGAGAGCACCACATTCCTCCACCACACAGTGAAAATGCACTTTATGGAGGAAGTCACAGTGGGCATCACAGAAATCCTTGGTACCAAACCTGGCCAAAGAATACAATAAATTACAAAGAGCCCCATGGTGGCAGCATCATTTGAAGGAGTTGTGAAGGAACAGACACTGCACATTAGTGTTATTTACTATTTGCATCTAAAATCTTCTTTTAACTTCCTGGATCCAAGGAGCTGGACAAGCCACAGCTCTGACATCACTGTGTGTATGGTTGTCTGTCTGTCTGTCTCTCAATTACAACAACCTGGTATGTACCTCAATGTACAAACTGGGAGGTTTAACTCTCTCTTGTTGAAGTCAATGGTAAAACTAGCATTCACTTCAATAGGAGCAAGATGTGAAGTTGTCCTAAAACAAAAGTTGAAGAGTAGTAACTGTCTGAAGCATGCCAATCAAAGGGGATCCCCAACTCAAACTTAGTGGGTTGATTCTCACAGCTAGTGACACTGGAAGTGTCAAATAAAGAAGAAATGTCAGGATGGAGTATAAATCAAAGACTAACATGACAGGATGAAACTGAGAAGGAGTAACTCCTTGGCCAATGCCAATGGGACTTAAAAACTGGGAGGGTCCAAAGCCGCGCCCTCTGACTTGGAGGGAATGTGAAGGGGTTGAATCTAGAGCCAAATGTCCTAGCTTTTCCACATCTCTACTTGAAACCACAGCATAACACATTTGAGGGTGATTATAAGTATTCATATGTCTGCTGTGTAACAAATAAGGCCCAACAGGCATCACCAGAAAGTCCCTAAATTACATAGGAAACAACTTTCTGATGCAGAAAGTAGAGGCGCCAACCTGAAGAGAAGCCATGCAGGAGCTGCCTTTTGCCCTCAGGATGGAACTAATCAAGAAAGGGAGAATAAGAGGGAAGCCCATTACCAGTGACTACAAGCTGCTTGGATTCACCATAGTGAAGAACGATAGCATCAGGTTATGAGATTTCAAGGAAGCAAATTCAAAAATTCCAGGGACGCGTTAAGATGTAATACCAGGAAGTCTGTAATCCTCCCTGGGTGGGGAAGGACTGTGGATTTGCGTAATTACAGTGTGACAGACTACAGTTCTTCTGAAGAGCAGGAAAACAAAAAGAAGCAGCAGCCTGTGTGGTCCCAGGTGGAACCTTAAAAAGTCTGAGGTTAAACAAAAGAAAGCTTGTACTTGGGAAAGGCAAATGGCAGGGGACTCCTGAATACATGGGGTCAGTTAAGGCTTGCAGGGAGAAGATAAGAGAGAGTGAGGCCCTGATAAGAGGAGCAATAATAGCACAAGTTAATGTAAACTAAAGGGGTTATTTTATCAGCGAGAAGATGTACCATACTTAGGGAGAAAATTGAGCCATTAAAAATGAGGATGATGGGTAATGTCTCAAAAATGGATGAGCTAGTCAAATGCCTTTTAAAATCTTCCTCTAACATGAAAAATAAAGACAAAGGCAGATAGTTAGGATGAAATGAAGATCTTACAGAAAAGCAAATACAGGAATGTTTAAAGAATCTAACTATGCACAAACCAGCCAGTCTGGATGATTTTCATCTGAGAACACACTGGGAATCAACACACAAACTTACTGGATTGGTGAGGTGCTGAAAACTAGCAAAAATAAATAGGGTGCCTATTCTTTAAGGAAAAAAACAGAGTGATCCTGGCAATTATTGTATCTCTAGTCTTAACATTCTTCCCAGTCAAATCGTGGAACAAATATTAAGAGGGGGGAGAAAATCATTAAACATTGAGAGGATAAAGGAATCAGGAGCAATACACAGCATGGGGATTATAAAGAATAAATCTTGCCAAACAAATTTAATTGCTTTTTTGATAGAATTATAAAATTAGCGGATGAAGGGCTGCAATATATTTGTACTTTAGTAAAGCATTTTGATACAGAGTCTCACATATGCTTAAAATTAATTCAAATTGGCTTGGATGTGAGCACTGCCACATGGACTGAAAACTGGCTGAAGGACCATAAACAAAGGGGTAATGACAAACGGCAGTGTATTGAGCAGGGAGACTGTATCTCGTGAGGATGAGTCGGGTTAGGTCTGAGCTTATTTAACATCTTCATTAGTAATCTAGGAGAAAGTGTAAACAGTACATTAACAAATTCACAAATGATACTAAACGGAGGAGTTGGAAGCATCAGTGCCAAGAAAGAGAAATAATGCAAAGGGGCTTAGAGAGACTGGGGGGGGGGGAGGAAGCATGAATTGAGATTCATGTTTGGAAAAATGCAGCTAATACATTTGGGGTATGGGGGGAATATTCAATATGAGAGGAACCTCCTAGAAAGCAGTGTTGTGATGAGAAACACAGAGAAACAGCGGACAACAAATGCATGCAAAGTGAGATTTTGTACAAAAAACGCAGCACAGTTTGGGGCTGCATACATGGAAAAAGAAACTTTTCATCCCTGTGGCGCGATGGCCCCTGGAATAGTGGGTCCAGTCCTGGGCACCTGAGAGTTCAGAGAGAAGAAAAAAAACCAAACCAAACCAAACCAAAGAAATCAGCAGGGGACTGGAGGAACTGATTTACAAAGTGAGATTAAAATAACAGTCTCTATAGCTTGGATAAATGATGATCCATTACTAGTCTCTGAATATCTGAAGGGGGTAAATTCTAAGTAAGAAGAGGAATTATCTATCCTGGTTCAAGGGGAATAATTACTGCAACAAAATTAAGAAAAGGAAAATTCAGGCAGCATATCAAGAAAAAAGTGGTAAAATAATCCTCCAAGAAGCATGGAGGTAACTACACTACTTGGCATAGTTAAAACTAGACTGAATAAAACACGAGCAAACAGACAATAGGGCTTGATCTTGCACTGGCAGAGGTAGACGGACTTCAAAGAGCTTTCCTATCTTCAATGTTTGTTTGCAATTCTATAAAATGTTCACAGGCACTTGTAGTCAAGCATGTTTCTGTTAGAGCACAAATCCATACATGTCTGGGCATATCCATGTGTGCTCAAATCATGTCAGTCTGGGCATGTATGTGCATGTGTCTCTGTGTGAGTCAGTTCTATGCCTGTTCCATTTTCCCTGAAAGCCTCCTTGTCTGCAAGAAACACAGTCCCTCAGAGCAAGAGCCAATAGTCTGCACAGTGCCCCCTGGACTCCCTGCTTTGTATCACTAGCTCACTCACAGAATGAGACAAGTGGCGCTAAACCCATAGCAAGTATTCTCAAGGCTACTGTGATCTTCACGTATTAGCTGTGCATGGTCTAACACGGGTTCACTGCTGAAGCGTACAGCTACTGGATATCCTTAGGATTCACGGCCCAGTATACAGAGGAGGGTTTCTGAGTGAATGTGCATGCCATAGTATTCAAGCCACCTAGGAATCTGTGCTGTTTGATGCCTCCCAAAGGATACTTATGGCCCAATCTTGCACCTCCTGCAAGATATTAAATACCTAATTCTCAGTCCACGGGAACAGAGAGCTTCAGTGCATTGCAGGGATAGTCAGGATCAGACTGGATCAAGGTCCTCAAATTCAAATATAATTGACTGTATTGAATCCAAGTGGGACTATAAACTGTCTTAAAACTTTCCACACAAGTTGGCCCTTTTGTGAAGGAAATAATTTCCCTCTCCGCTTTGCCTAATTTCTCACTTCCTTTACCTGCGCAGGTACATCTTCCAGGGTTCAGAGAGTTTCTCCTGAACAAGCGCCTTCACTGCTTTGCCCAGGTATTGCGTTGGCTCACCAGCTCCTGCCTGGTTGCCATCTCCTTCTGTTCTCAAGACTGGCAGGCTACCAAGGCTGGCATTGGACTGGCTCATCTGTGACAAGAACATGGACATACATTAGATGCAGGTCACTGGCCAATCTGGCTCCACTCAAAAGCATACCATGAAAAGCTGTTTTCAGGATTAGAAGGAAAGATGAGGCAAGAGGTTTGCACAGGCTGCACACTACTCCAGAATAAATCAGTAACTCATCATGGCCCCATCTGAGGGTCTCAAAGCACTTAGAACTCATCAAATCCTCTCAGCCTGTGCATCAAGTGTGGAAGTGTTACTCCCATTTTACAGATGGGAAAATTGAGGCACAGGACGAATTGGGCCCTGATCCTGCACTGAGAACCAAGTGAATGGACCTGTGCCCAAAGGAAAACTCTTGACTCTGTCTGTCCAGTACAGAGTTAGAGCTTTGGTGACTTGAGCCCCACAGTCGCAGAGTCAGTAGCAGAAGCATAAATTAGAGTTCCCAACTATCCTGCTCTAACAACAGATCAGCAGTCTCTCCAATAAAATTATTGTAAGATATATTTATTTAAAAATACATAAAAACCCAGCTCCATTGTAGTCTAGGGGAAAGCACCTAATGATCTCAGTGAGGTTATGATTTCAGCCTCTGTGTTTAACATACAGACAGGATGTGGGGGAGTGGGGGTTGTTTGGGTGTGTATGCGTGTGCGTGCATGCATGCGTGTGTGTGCCAGCGTGTACAGACACTGACTGATTCCAGTACAGAGGGCTGGTTGGATCAGGCATAGGCGGTACAAAGAAAGAAAAAAAAAAGACATATAAGCTGAAAAACTGAAGTTACTTAATAGTGCTTAGCCAGCAAATGTTATCTCCTAATAATATATAATATCACAATTCAGTCCTGCTCATCTAGTCACATGAATAGCTTCAGTAAAGTCAGTGGAACTTCAGGCACAAATAAAGTGCAATATCGGGCTCCAGCTTTGCATTTAGAAACCACTTCCCATCTGCCCATCTCAAAACTCTTTATAAACATTCATTAACTAAGTCTGACAGCCTCCCTGAATAAACTGCATAACAACTGCCGTACAGTACAGGACCTGTGGCTATTCAGAAGCTCTGAACACCCCTAGAAGGTAAAGCTATGGCTGCTGCAATACATCTCTTAACTCGTCTTGCACTATGTCTACACTGCAGCTGCAAGTGAACCTGCCAACTGAAGTAAGACAGACTTGCACTAATGTGGATGTTGTGGCTTTGGCAGTGGCTCAGGCTCTCAAACTGGGTCTGCACCCCGGGTGGACAGCCTCGGTCTGCCCTGGAGATGCAACATCCACACTGCTATTTTTAGTGCACTAACACAAGCCTCACTGGCATGAGTCTTGCTCCCAGTTGCAGTGTAGACATATCCTTTGAGGCAGGAAGTTGGAAATTCAGTTTGTCTTATGTTTTTGCAACCTTTGGAGCTCTCAGTTCCATTTCCTGGAAGGGCATTTTTAAAAGAGAAATTCACACAAAGAAAGAAAGAATTCCTCATAATGAGAGCGACATTACAGAACAAGACAAAGCGGGAGAGAGACACGCACACACTATCAGATGTGGCCTAGTCCTGTAACCCTTACTCTTATGAGTAGTTCCACTGAGGTTAATTGGTCAGATTTTCCTTTGCCTTGCGCTTTATACCACCATTTAACCCTGTGCATATTGTTTAATGATACAGTGTGATTCACTAGTGTTTTATGCCTACGCTACACTTATTTTGCCCAGGAATAAGACACCTGATTTGGGAAAGCATGTGAGCAAATGCTTAACTTTAAACGGGTACTTAAATCCCACTGATGTCAAATTAAGCTTTCCACAGCTAGGGCCTTAAAGATGACTCAGGATGCCAGGCAATGGAGCTTCTGACCCAATGGGACTACTCAAAGAAGTAAGCGCTACAGATTCAGGACCACAGACTATGGGGAGGAAGATATATAGAGAGAGAGAGGAAGAGAGAGGAAATGAAAATACAAACAACAAAAGGGCAATTTGTTTAAATGAGAAATTAAGTGATAAAGGAACCAGTGAAAAACAAATGAAGGAAAAGGTAGGATGGTGGAGAAGAGCAACATATGGATGAAAACAAAAAATGGAGAGTCAAAGGCCAAGGAAAGATAAGAGGGAGGAGGAGGGAAAGCACTAGACAAAGTCACTTTGCCCTTTCTTGAGGGTTATATGGCCTTGCTGGATATAATGCCCAGAGCCAAGAGGATGGCAGTAGTTATGCCTCTAAAGCCTATCACACAGTAGGATATTAAACCGTGGCTCGGAGGCTGCCCTGATCACTAATGCAGTTGTATACAGTAGCAAAATTAATCTCGCTATAGTAAAATTTATCATGTGGAAGGGAAAAATATATTTGAGATGATGTATAATTTAAGGAAGAAAAAAATAGAAAGAAAAAGAAACCGTGCATTATTTAAAGTAAATATTCCAGAGTGTGGTAGAGCGGGCTCAGTTGGACACCATTACTCATGCCAGAAAGGCAGAAATTGATGATTTTTGCTCAAAACTTGTAATTTCATCGTCTTCTCCTTCTGTTTTCTTTTACGAAAACAAACGACTCACCCGCCATAAAAACATGTTTTAAAGTAAATAAATAAAATAGCAGTTTAACTGGAAAGAAAGAGAGCGAGAAGTTGCCAGGTTCTGGAAATCAAATTTTTAAAAAATTCTTTCAAGCCCTCCTCCGTCTAGAAAGGATAAAAAAAAGGTGTCAGGGCTGCAATATATTTCTTCAGCCAGTTCATTAAATTAATTCGTAAGCAGGGGCTCTGAAATTATGCCCGATGACAAATGGTCTCAAAATTTAAATGGTACAAACTCATCTTATTAGAGGCAAAACATTAAAAAACAAACGCATCTCCCCCCACCCCTTGCCATTGCGGCTTTAATTTCTTTTGGTGGGGGGAATGAAAGGCGTTTGATGGATGGCTCTTACCTTATTCATAAGCGAGGATAAAAGAGATGAATTTGCTGAGACTGTGTGGCCATTTGATTCATTACTGGAACACATAAACCAATAGGGTTTAGTTAAGACGTGCACAGAGACTGTGAGCACTGAGATTAATTCTTCTCCCTTCAAATTGTGTCTCCCCCCCGCAACAAACACTTCCCACCTGCTGCATCTGGAGGAAGAGATGACGCTCATTCTCCCTCAAGCAGGTCAAGGGGATACAGGGGAAGAGGGTCTCAAGCTTCCAGAGCAAAGCTGGATCTTTTGGCCATTCAGTATTCTAAGTTTACACCTCCAATGTCCAGCCCAGCTCCCTAATCTTCAACTGACACCTAACTCATTTCTCACCCCCTCCCTGATTTACTCTTTCTCCTGCCCCAGGCTAGGCAGGACCGTTAAAACACACATGCCACAGAACGCTCAGGGGTCCTGTAACAAAGCCGCAGGGTGACTGTGAACTGAGAGAGGCACTCTCTATAATACATGCATTTCCAAAAAAAAAAAAAAAAAAAAAATCTAGGGTACTTGGGTGCGATGCCTGAGACAGATACACAAGGGCAACCCAGGTATTTTATAATCATTAGCAAGACCTTGCTGATTACAACTAGGACTTAAGCCTGGCTAAACTTAGTATGGAGAGGAAACTATAGGTGTTGCAGGCTGCTCTGGTTTAGCCGGCCCTTCCTCCTCACCAAGGTCATTCATTCCACAGTGCTGTCCTTCTTGGAAAATGGCCCCAAAACACCAGTACTAAGCACTATTGGATAGGTGCTTCACAAGTCCCAGAATGCACCAACATGGCCATCAAAAACTGTAGGGCTGAAGGATGTGCTGAACATCTGCAAGGATGAGAGTGACAACCAGCCTTTTCATGCTGCTGACGTTTCTCCTACAGTTTCCTTGATTAGACCACAATCCACTGAAGTCAATGGAAATACTTTCCCACGTGTCAGCTGGCCCTGGATCCGGCCCTTAATGAAGACACATTTTAGTTTTCAATCAAATGTATGGTGATGGTGGTTTCAAAAACACTATACCGTGGGAAGAAGGTTGGCCAGAGACCTCTTAGCACTTTAACTTAGGGGAGGATGTGTTGGAAATTACAGGGGCTTTCAATCCATAAACAGGCCCCAAGTTGTCAATGGGAGTTTATGAACCCAAAGAATGCCTTAGACCACAGACATCTTATAATGCCATGGGAGGTTGAAGGAGCTGTCCAGGGCACACTAAAGCTTTTCAACTCACAATTTAACAGATTTTTCTGACTCAGCACAAATTAGCAGCCACAGGTTAAACAAGCTAGATGAAACCGTTCTCTCTTGTGTTACTAGATGTGAGAACAGCCTTTGAGAACCGCAGTGGATGGAGCTAAGTCTCCCAGCCTCTCCGTCTCACCCATGATCTTTCACGCTCAGGTCCAGGCTGTGTTCTTGCAAGGACTCCTGGCTCGCTGTGGATGAGGACACCGCACTCTCCACGGGTTCCTGCTTTGCTTGAGCTGGATTGAACCGGCCAGGAGCGATTAGTTGCCCATTGCCTGTGGGAGACAGAGAGGAAAGAGAAACATGAAAAATACACGAATTAATGGCTGAAAGAGGCAATGGAGGCAAATACATGAATTAAGCCACCATCACCACATAATGGGAGAGAAGAAAAAAAACTAAGTGGGGGGAAGGGAAGCACCCGGGTTGCTGGTCAGCGTTTATTGCTGGGATGACTTGATGGGTTCTGACGTCCACTCCAGCATGGAAATTCTTCAAGTGATAATTATTGCAAAATTATGTCAAAGTTGTCCAGGCTACGGGCCCTTTAAAGGAGAAGGGCGGAAGGAGCATGGGGGAGACCTGATTCTCTGCACAAACTGTCATAACTAATTTGCGGGGCTGCCTCTTAAGCGTTTATTAAAGACTCTGTTAATGCTGAGGCAATGTGGCAGCTTTCGACTGCTAGTCAAGCCCCTTTTCCAGTCCCCAATCTCGCTGTTGCCTTAGCGACCGCGCCGGCCTTCCACTGAGCATGCCCAGAAGGAACATCTGCTGTGTCAGGTCTATTGAAGCTGACAGCCAATCAGATTGGTTCAAACTGCGTGACCTCTCTCCCATCAAGTTGTCCCAATGAACGGGGGAAATATATACATATTGAGAAAAATATGATATATATATTTTTAAATGAAGGGAATGAGGAAAAAAGGAGGCTGGAAAAAGAAAAATGGTGAGAAAGAAGAAAGTGAGAAAAAATGAAGTAGAAAAAAAAGAAGAGAAAAAAGAAAAGGGGAAAAAAGTTGCTGACAGGAACATGTCCACTGAGTTTTTTCTGCAATCCCCAAGTGACTAAAATATTAATTTACCCTCAGGCACTACAGCTGACAGTGAGCTGTTTCACAGACAGCAAATGGCATTTTATTAAAAAATAAAGGAAAATAGTTCCCTCAATGACCTTTCTGTGTTTTTGGAAAGAATTTTTTGAATAATAAGGGGGAAATATTTCAAAGTTTTCCCTCACTTTTAATCAGATTACTTCACTCTTATCTCTTCATTCAGAAAGGACTCTTGTTTGAGAAGGGGGGGAGGAGTAGGCAGAGGTGACACACCCGGACCCATTCAGTTTGCCTCAGGTCTCAGACAGTGGAAAAGGTTTTCAATGCCCTGAAGGGAGAGAGGAATTGTGGGGAAAGCAACTGATATCCTGGGGGCTTCAGGCCAGCTCCTACTTGTGGTGATATCAGTGTAAATCCAAAGGTACTTGATTGTTTTCAGTTGGGTTACTCTGGATTTACAGCGGTGTCACGAAGAGCAGTCTGGCCCTGTTAATCAGAAGAGGCCTGAGATGTTCTAGTTGAAAGGGATGACTATAAATAAACTAGAATTATAAATTAATTATAAATTAACTGTTTACTTGAGTTCTAGAGTGCAACAAAGAAAGGTTTCATTAGTCCCAGTGGGGGGATCCTTTCTGCCATGGATCCATGCTGCTACTTGCAGACTGTCCAGTGATTATGTGTGGATAGGATGGGAGGGAAGGAAAAAAACTGCCTTGCAGACCCAGGAAGGTAAAATGTCCTATGTGAGAACCAACACATTGGTTCCTAAGGTCAACCAGATGCTTCAATGGGAGAAGCTCATCCCCCTCCCCCAAACCAAGGAGAGAAAAAGAAAAAGGAAGATGAGAGGATAGTTAGAATGAGCCATAGTGAGAAGAGAATGCTGTACATCTCAAAGGAGCACACCTGCTGGCACAGGTCCAGAGCGATCACTGTTGTTTGATCGCTGTTGTTTGTCCTGTAATTACTGCAGCAGAGGTGCAAGGTGAGGGGGAGAAAGTCATTCAATACAGCACAGCGTAACAGAGAAAACCTACAACTCTCATGCTTGCCTGAAATATAGAACCATCTCTGATTCCATTTCCCCTCTGCCTTTCACTGGCTTCACAGAACTTCCCCCTTTTCCAGGCCAGCCCTGTCTTCCCTGGAATGCAGCCTTCTTTCTCATGCAGAATGCCACCAGTTGCAGCCCCCTTGACTCTTAAGGGATCATCTACAGCAACACACCAAGCAATGAAGGGTCCTTGCTGCTGCACTTTTCCCTAGGCCAGGTCCAGTTCCTCTCCTAATACGCCTCATCCCTGCCCTGTTTTCCTGAGGAGCAGAAGTTCAACCTCACCAGATGATTTTGATGAAGTAAAAAAGATTCTGATCAGGGATGCATGCTAGCAAAGTCTCTGGGGGGGCATGGCTGACGCTCGGGATACCAATCAAATGGCAGAGACAGGGCTTGGTGTTCACCCACCTGAGGTCCAACAGGAGCAGCTGCGAGGGCAGGGAACAAAGAGGGAAGTGAGTCTGAGGAGTAAGAGGGTGATGAGCAGTAGGAGCGACACTGATGACTCCACTCAGTATACAAGAAACAGAAGGGAGTGGGAAGGGAGCTCCATGTTGGGCTGTGGGAATCAGCTTGGTCTGTCTCCCCCTACACTCCCATGGGATGGCGGGAAGGACAAGGCTACTGTCAGACCCAGTGCTCAGATCCTCAAGATGGACAATGGGAAGCATAACTCAGGGATGCTCTATAACCCCAGGACTCCAGTGAGTTCTTTATCCATTTCCATTTTGAATAAAATGCCCCTCACTTTCCAGCCCACAATTAGATGGGGAGGGAGGTATCACAGAGGAGAACACTTTTCCTCCAGGACTGAGAGGAGCCTGACTCTGTGTGGGAAGCAGCTTCCTCTCTCTCATCTACGTGGAGTGATTCAGGTTCCACCGACCACCCCTCCTGCATCCCAACACTGCGCCTTAGCACCCAACACTTTCACTGAATATGGCTAAAATGCTTCTCCCAGCAATGATCTTGTACAACCTGCCTAATGCCAGCGGCTGACCCATTGAATTGGCCCATTCTTTCCAAATAAGTCATCTCCAATTCTCCCACCTTTACCCAGCTCCAGTGTGATGGGAGACTGTAGGACTCACCTGCTTCGAGCGCCATGGATGGCTTGAGGGCTGCTGCTGCCAGCCTGGCCATCATGGGGGAGATCAGTCCTTTGCTGGCGGAGATCCTCTCCATAATGGATGCTGCTGGACCAGGAGAAGAGGTGGCTGTCAGCTCACTGGACCCTGAGACGGCTTGGGAGGGGGAATTGGCAGCAGTAGAGGATGTTGGGTTGGTGCTGGAGGAACCAGCTGTCATTAGATTGGCTGAGCTGGTGGGATGTGGCGTGGAGACCCGGCTGGGGATGATGGGGAAGTAGGAGCCCGCTGTTCCGGGAAGTGCTGAGTTGGAGAGCGCCAGGGCCAAAGGTATATTGCTGGGGAGGGCCTGGGAGAGCAGGCCAGAGATCTTGGTGGCCGGTGGCATGCTGTTGGTGGGCTTGCTGGCCTGAGAAGAGGCAAGCTCAGCAGCGGAAGAAGGTGCAGTTGGGACGATCAGGGAGACGGAAGACTGCTGACTGGTAGGGGAGGCACTCAGGCTGGAGTTCTTAGAGCTCATGGCGGAGAAGTCAATGAGGTCATCGTTGCTGGACTCCTCCTGCTCATTATCCTTTGCTCCCAGGAGGGAGGCGGGGATGCCCAAGCCCCCCGAGCTGCGGATGTGCCGGCGCTCATGCTTGCGCTTGTGGGAGGTCATCTGGCTGGTGGAGGTAAAGGTGAAGCCACAGCCTGCCCGGATACAGTGGAAGTGGTTGGTGGCTTTGCTGTAGACGCAGCCCTCATACTTGCACTCCTCATACTTGTAAAACTTCTTGAAGCCATCCTTGGCGTAGGCGTCATCCTTGATGTGGTAGCTCTTGTGCTTCTCGATGTCACACTTGTTCTTGAAAGTGAATGTACAACCGGGTCGCCTACAAGGGCACAGAAGAGGGTGGGAGGCTGTATGAGTTGGGAGCACCAAGGCGCTGCCACATCACTTGCTGCCTCCCTGGGATGTGGTTTGGGGCCAGTATAAAGTACTGACCCCTGGTAGGAAGAGGCCTCTTGGCCCCTCTTAGCGTTGACTTTGGAAGCTAGGAAGGATTTCCAGTCTAGGGAAGCAAGGATGCTACCAAGTATGAGAACTGGGATAATGTCCCCACTCTGAAGACTAGCCAGTATAATAGAGGCAGGGATCTAGCCCTGCTCACAAGCTATCCCAAAGAGAACACATGCTCAAGGCAGACTGAGGGTCATTCCTAGACACATACACAGGCCCTAACTGTGCATTGATTTTTTTCCCAGATGACTTAGGTATTCAAGGGAGTCATTGGAAGGGCACTCACGTAAATGAAAGCAGAGTTTGGCCTTAAACTAGGAGGACTGGGTGGTTGGTCCCTAGAGAGAACTCCATAAGAACAGCTATACTGAGTCAGACCAAAGGTATGTCTAGCTCAGTGTCCTGTCTTCCAACAGTGGCCAATGTCAGACGCCCCAGAGGGAAGGAACAGAACAGGGAATCATCAAGTGATTCTAACTCTGTTGCCCATTTCCAGCTTCTGGCAGACAGAGGTTAGGGACACCATTCCTACCCATTCTGGCTAGTAGCCACTGATGGCTTGCACTGTGAAGTGCAAGTGCCATTAATAGCATAATAACAGCACCCCTCGATGATGACCTTTCGAGCAAAGCTAGTGTATTCTCTTTCCTGAGAGATTTCTGTCATAGATTTCTTAATGGGAATACTTGCCATGATTCATCAGGGAGCTATCAGGGTTTCTTCTCCCACAAGAACACTCTCCAGTTTATACCCACTCTGGTGTTTATGTTGTTTCAGGAAGATCCCTGGGAAGTCCACATCTAGAGGCCTTTCTGGTAGGTTACCCCACTGGGTATAGTCCCGAGATTACAGCTTTTCAAGAGGAGGCCAGCAGATGTGTGTCAATAAGGCAGCATTTTTGCCCTCCCCCACCCTCTCACCTGCAGTGGAAGTGAGTGGTTTTCTGCCCATAGAACTGACAGTCCACAGTGCCACAGTCTTCTGTGGCTCGGAACCGCTGGAACCCATCGTTGATGAGCTGCGTGTTCTTCTTGTGGAAGTTTTCATGGGTCATCACATCAGAGGTGCTGGTATAGACGTGTCAATAAGGCAGCATTTTTGCCCTCCCCCACCCTCTCACCTGCAGTGGAAGTGAGTGGTTTTCTGCCCATAGAACTGACAGTCCACAGTGCCACAGTCTTCTGTGGCTCGGAACCGCTGGAACCCATCGTTGATGAGCTGCGTGTTCTTCTTGTGGAAGTTTTCATGGGTCATCACATCAGAGGTGCTGGTATAGACCTTGTTACAGCCCACCTGTGTGGGACCAAGAGAATTTATTGCTTTATTATCCATCCCAGCAGTAATAAATGCACAAGCAACGCAGAGATATTTTAATTGTATTTCTGCACTTCCCCTCAGTACTGAGTCACCACTTTGAGTCTCTGGGGACAAAACAATTAGAACAGAAGGAGACAGAGGATTGGAGGAGATGTGTAGAGATTAAGGCTACTATTCAGGCTACTGAATTGGAGAGAGTTGGGGCTTCTACTCCAGCCTTTTACCTACTTGTGGAGCACTGATGAGACTGGTGGATACTCATCTATTCATTTTCTCTCTTGGAGATGGGGCGATGTGGAGGAAGCTGGACACAGATCTAGAGTCTGTTTTACTTTAGCTAGCCACAGACCCAAGTGGAAATCCCAGTCATCTTGTCACTGGGAACTGGTGGCTCTCACGCCCCAACATCAGTACTGGGTCCTGCCGCGAGGGCAGGGGACTGAACTCGATGACCTCTCGAGGTCCCTTCCAGTTCTAGTGTTCTATGATCATTTACTCAATAATTTTAACCTTGTGCAGCGAGTAGGAATGGTGTGATGAGAACGGAATGCTGAAAACCAGCCTCCTCTGGGCAAAGCGGGCAGCTTGGCCATATTGAGTAAAAAACCAGTGGAATCTGAAAACGCCATCACCCCTGCTGAGTTGCCAACAGTGGGTTTTATTTTTTCCCTTTCTTCTTTTGCACAGTGTGTGCCAACGCCTGCACCATCTCAGAAGTGAAGAGAACGAAAACACCACCTCTCGGTTCAGCCCAGGTTGATTCAAACAGGCAATAACAAATACTCAGGGCAGGGGGCGGGGAGAAGGATCTCCAGCTATTTCCAATATAAAAGAGACTCTCTCTCCACACTGACACCTTGAAAAAAAACAGACCCTGTGCGGCATTAAAAAAAAGAATTAAACAAAAACCTCCTTAGGAATAATTTGCAATGTGGCTCTTGGTATTAAAGCCTAAAAAAAAGTCAGTTCGTATAAACAACTAACTGAATTTTATCCACACCAATTATGGACATAAAGAGAAAAAAACCCACGAGGCGGACGGCACAAATCCTGCCATTTAAGCAATATTCATTTTAATTGCAAGTTTATGTTCTGACACCTTTCCTGTAAGTCACTGCTTACATGGTCATTGACTTTCTGGAAGGGAGTGGTCACAGGGCTAAATTACCCTTATATAGAAGCCTAGAAAGGGGTCTTTATTAAACCTCAGAGCGGCTGCAGACTGAAAAATCTTGATTGTCCTTTAAAAATTAAATAACTCCTATCCTAGGTTGCTCAGCAAGAAACTGAGCAAGGAAAATACAGAAGAAATAGCACAAAAATGTCCCTAACAGAGATACAAATGAAACCCCAGTTTCAGCAAAACACTAAGCACATGCTTAAAACATGACCCTATTCAGAAGAACACTTTAGTACCTGCCTAATATTAAGCTTATGCTTAAGTCCCATTGATTTGAAAAAGCTGACAACTTAAATAAATACTTAAGTCCATCCCTATTAAAAACACATGCCCAATGCTTTATTTGAAGACCCACTGACTTTGCTGAGACTTAAGCACGTGCTTAAATACTTTGCTGAATTGGGGCCTTATGACTGTAGAATAGTCCAGGAAGTGGGATCTGGGATTTTAGAGTAGTAAGACCTTGCGAGCGCGTCTGATTATTTTCGGTGGGATTAAAAGTTCCATTGCACATTGGTGTAGCAATATTTTAGGTGCTGATTCAAAATGCAGTGTGTGTCCCTACCTCTACCCTTCTTCAGAGCAGATCCCACTTTAAGAGATGGATAAAGTAACCAGTGTCCTGACTGCCTCTGGGCTAGACAACACCAACGAGTTCAAACGTCTGTGTGGCAATGCCAATTCCTGTTACTCCATGGTCAAAACATCATTTGCTTAACCTCATTCCCTCCCTGCACTGCAGTTGTAATGCCCAATAACTCTTAGAACTTCTCCTCTAGAAATGCTGGTGAGGAAGGCAGAGTTGAGGTTTGCTTCAAACTGAGTACCATTAATATTTAATTGTCCTAGCAGCTGGCTACAAAGGAACTAACTCCAGTGCTAACGGACAGATGTTGTGCAGAGAGAAGCCTTATGATCCAAGGAGGCTATAGCAGGTCAGATGGTCTGTTTGGGCAAGGCAGTGGCACTCTAAAGAGACTTCACTGCTTATCCCTCTACCAGTCCCACAGAGAGGGTATTATCTGTGTAGATAAGTCAGGCACAGAACAGAGGAAAAGCCGTGAACGCCACCCTGCCAACCCAAAAACAGAGCATTGCCCTTCATAGTTCAGATCGGGACCATGCTTGGCAGGAGAATGTCCATGCAAACTGGGTATAGAAGGGATTGAAGCAGGAGGAGATACATTTAAGCTAGCTGGAAGTTCTCCCTTAAAACAGTTTGCTGCAGGGGAGGTGCCTGTCCCCCCACCCAAAGGAAAATGTTTGGTGCCAGGATTTCACACTCCTTTAGGTTTGCAACAAAAAGGGAATGGCTCAGGCCTACTGGCTCTGGGTTCCTCATTCTCCCTAGAGCCCTGTCATCTTTCCTCCAGCCATGTTGCTGCCTTCTCCCCAGACCAGCTGTGTTACCTGCATGCAGTGGTAGTGTGTGCTTTTCCCATTCAGGTGACAGCCATGGTAGTACACGCTGCAGTCATCCAAGGGGCTGAAGCGCATAAAGCCGTGCTGGAGGGAATTATCACGTTTCTTGTGCATGTTGTAATGCCGAATCACATCCTGTTTACTAGTGAATCTCTGGAGGGACAGAGAAAGCGAGACACACACGTGAAAGGAATGGTGGAGGCAAGTATTCCAGAGTAATTTCCTCTATAAACCCCTCAACTGTGGACTCACAGTCGCAGTTCAGCCATACAATGCATTTGAGACCCCATGAGGCACTGGTTAGATTAAAGGAGAAGTCTTATGTTGTTGTTAAAGGAACAATATATGCAAACCAAAACGGTTTCTGTAACGATAAGCCAGGAGTGAAAGATACAATAGTGCCACATCCAAGAAGGGCTCTGTGCAATCTTGGAAGTGAGTCTTCTGACAGGATTTTAGATGCTGCTCTCTGAAGAGCCATGGTAGCTGGAAAGGAAACCAGTGAACTATCCCTGCTATAAATGAGTAATTCCAGCTTTCAGATAGCTCATGCTTGGAGTTTGCAAGACACTGGCTACCAAATCCATGTCAAAAGGAAGATGCTCTGCTTTCCTTTAGTGCCCTCCCTCTCGAGCTGTCCAAGTGCTCTACAAACAACACTAAATTTTAGCATCATAACCCCCCTGGGACATAGGCTGGTTTTGTGAGGAAAATCAACTTTATGGGGAAACTGGAGGCACAGAGATGGAAAATGACTTGCCCATGGTCACACAGAAAGTCAGTGGCAGAGCTGAGAACTGACCCTAACTCTCCCTGTTGTATGCCAGAACCAACAGACAATCCCCTTCATCCCTGCCTGCTTGAACTAAGTGTCCTATTCTCAGGGCAGACAAAGTGGTTTTAAGATGAAGCTTTTCATTTTTATTTCCCACGTACATTGATATTCAACAGTGGAGGTGTGAAAGGAAATCTGATTTTAAAAAATCAATAGCCATTTATTGTGAGGAGTGATTGAAAAACCCTGTATTCTAATATTTAGCAACTTTTCCAGCCTCCTTTTAAAAGAGACAAATGATTATCGCTTCCACTCAGTACTCCTATAACATCAATCCTGATCAATTCCATTGGTATTGGCAAGGGGATAGATGGATATGGATTTCAGTAGGAAGCCCGCAGAGGCTAGCGGTACTATTTCCCATGGCGTACATACAGGATTCCCATTGCCAATCACTATTAATTTGTGCCCATTTATTGCAGAGCGTTACTTATTATAAACTATATCTCAGCCATAAAATAATTTGCATTTTAAAAAGCAGCCTAAATCCTTATTCCCTTGTGAGACCAGGCAAGCTCCTTTGCAAGCAGCTTCTGGACTCCTTGGGTAATAATCATGAGGCCAATCATAGTAATAGTTTTTCTGTCTTTCCATCCTTTATGTCCTTCCTGCTCCCTGTGCCATGACTGAGAGCTCCCCATCTGATCATCCCTTTCAGGGTCACTAGCAACATCCCAAAGAAAAACTCCAGTCTGATCAACTTGTTTCCCTGGCTGTGGTCAGACTCATTCCCCCCAAGACCAAAGTGCCTCCTGGAGTTAGGGCAGGAGTCATGCCAGATACAAACTCTGGGATTTCCCCCTCATCCATCCCCACATGCAGTCTGACCACAGAGATGGCAGAGTCATGCTCACAGACCTGGAAAGAGGGTAAACAAACACTGCACGTGACTCAGAGCTGGCTTGACGTTGCTACCTTGGCAATTATCCCAGCAATTACAACACTGCACATGTCCCCTCCCCACTCTCTTCCTAACCATAGATTCAGGGCTGCTGCTGGTCTTATTGGGTGTTTGGCTGCTGCTGCTTCTCTCGTGTTGCATGGGCAACCGCAGAGACAGAGACAGACTACCAGAAAGCATTCCCTATTTTCGAGCAAAATTTATAACGTAGCCTAATTTATCTTCTTGGCTATGCTGGTGTAAATCTAAAGGAACTCCTTTGAGTTCAGATGAGCCAGATCCTACTCTGGGTTATGCTGGTGTAAATCTGGAGTAATCCTATTCATTTAAACCAAGCCAGATTTTGCCCTTGATTACACTGCTGTAAATCCAAAGTAAACCCACTGATTTAAATTAAGCCAGATTCTACTCTCAGTTATAGTGGTGTATATCTGGAATAACGTCACCGAGTTCAACAATGTGAGGCTGTTGTAACTGGAAACAGAATTTGACTCCAATCATTTCAAATGTTCTTCCATGGAGACATGGAGAAAGCAGATGATCTGTTTCATGGTGGAGTTTTGTGGGCTGAATCCCTTGACAGAAAGGACAGGCAATGGGTGCTGGCAGTTCATGTTTGTCCTGTTTACCTGATAGTTGCACTCCGGATCGAGGCAGTGGTAATGTTCCCGGTACTGGTACGCACAGTGTATGTGTCCGCAGTGCTGACTCCCAGAGAACCTGGAAACACAGGTGAGAGAAAGTTTTGAAACTGATGCTCTCCTAAGGTTGGTGACTGCAAATCAAGGTGCAAATGAAACAAGTTTGGCCTTCTTCCTGTGCTCCTGCAATGTAGTCTACACCTATCCTATCCGTCACCTCAGAGAGGACTGGGGAGACATGGGACTCCATGGAGACAAAGACTCCTATACCTGCCACCCAGGGAAAATGCAGTTCTTCCGTGGTACCAAGCAGAAGGAAAGAGGGTCCCCTTCCAGACAGAAGTCCTTTTCTAATGAGGTTTTATATAATTACATCCCAAACAAGTATCACTGCTCAGCTCTTTGGAATTGACTTTATTGTCACCTGACCGGACCACTCCTGAGTCTGGTGAGCCTCTTGCTGCTATTTCCAGGATGCAGTGATGCTAAGTCTTGACACAGACTCTTCCCAGCCGCTCTGAGACAAAACATCCATTGCAACCAGATAAATTTTCCCCCTCTGCCTGCCACTAAACATCCTTCCCCCACTGGCCCATTCCTGCCCAGCCTGCCAGGGACCAGAATCTAGGAGATCAGATCGAGGGAGCTCCAGTTGGAGCGATGAAGAAAGCACTACCAGCACTACCATTCTTGGGCAAAAGCCTGACACCAGAATCAGGTGCAAGAAAAAGCAGAGAGAAGGCCTGAGGGCTGCAAGAAAGGTTGCAGGTGGGTGTGTGGCTCTCTGCTCTTTTGGAGCAGAAAGACTAAAAGATTGCAAAGGCCACTTGTTGCAGCAGGAGAGAGATGGGGCATAAACTGTAATGTGCCATATTTGCATTTCAATTAAGCAGGGTGCCAGCAGCTGCTTTTCTGCTGCACCATAAACAAAGGTGATTTTTTTCTTCTGCCTCACTGAGAGTCCAAGAGCAGCATACTCGAAATTAGAGTGTCTCAAGGCTGCACAATACGAGATAATAAACGGGGGTTACTTACATTTTTGGAGGGGGAGGGGAAGAGAAAGACACATGATTCTTCTTTTGCAGGCTCATCTCTAGAGGGCAAATCCTGCCTCCCCTGTCCCCACAGAGAGCTCAAGGAGAAGCAAATCTGGTGTTCTGAGTGTGTTTAACAACTCTGCTCAACTTTCTGGGGAACCCAAAACAGGGGCAGCAGCAATGCAAGCTTCCTCCAAGCACTGTGCTCCAGCTCCGGGAGGGGGCCTCCCCGGTGATAAAACAGATATATTAGCCCAGTCAAGCCTTGGCCTCTCTGCTGAAACTGCTAACACGAAGCAGGTGGCACTGGGTGGAGGTTTTGTGACACTTGCCCAGTGGAATGAGGCCTGCCAACTCGTAGCATAGAACAGTCATCACATAGCAACAGCTAATACTTAGGCAGGATCTGAACCTGTGACTTCACAGAAAGAGGTTGCTTAGCTCACTACCAGCACTAAGCCCATGCTCTCCATTCACACCTCTTGTGACTCAAACATGGCTGGTCACTTTGGAGTTTCTTTTCGGGCATGAGAAAAGAGCCGGTCCTAGCCAAAGCTCTGAAGTCACAATGCCAGGCTAGCCTTCTGCAATCACAGAATTCTAGAAATGCCAAGCAGGAAGGGACCTTGAGAAGTCATCAAGTCCAGCTGCTTTCATGAGACAGAACTAAGCAAACCTAGACCATCCCTAACAGGTGTTTCTCTAAGCTGTTCTTAACAACTTCCAGTGAGGGGGATTCCAAAGCCTCCCTTGGAAGCCTAGTCCAGAGCTTAGCTAGTCTTATAATTAGAGAGTTTTCCCCAGTATCTAATCTAAATTGCCCTGGCTGCTGATTAACCCTCTTACTTCTTGTCCTACCCTGCACTGGACACAGAGAACAATTGAACACCTCTTTAAAAGAGCCCTTAACATTTTGAAGATTATTATCAGGTCCCCCCTCAGTCTTCCTTCCTCAAGGCTGGATATGCCTTGTTTGGTTGGTTTTTTAACCCTTCCACACACAGGTCAGGTTCTCTAAACCTTTTCTCATTTTTGATGCTCTTTCCTGGACTCTCTCCAATTTATCCACATTTTTTCTAGAGTGTGGCATGAACAACTGGACACAACTGAGACCTCCCTGGTGCCAAGTAGAGTGGAACAATTCCCTTCCATGTCTTACATACAACACTCCTGGTCATGCATCTCAGAATGCTCTTCACCTTTTTTGCAACTACCCCACATCATTGACTCATCACTATGATCCCCCAGGTCTCTTCCAGCAATACTAATGCCTAGCCAGTCATTCCTTAATCTGTAGGTGTACATTTCATTTTTCCTTCGTGATACTTCCGAAACCTTTGGGACCTAGGTGGTGCTGGATTATCGGATATGCCGGACTATCAGGAGGTACTATAAACTGGTTTTATATATATACTGTATACAGTATAACTGTATATAAAGTGTTTTTAACCCTTTTTATTGTACATACTGTATACAGTATACTGTAATGTTTTAGTTTTTTTAACCCTTTTTTACCCTTTTCGCTTGGTTCAGCTGATGCCGCTGCTGTTTTGTGACTTGTTTTTTGCCAAAGCTCACTCACTAGGCTCTTGCCATTTTGATGCCGAACTATCGGGAGTGCTGTACAATTGGATGCCAGACTATTGGAGTTTTACTGTACTTTGCATGCATCTTTACTGAAGTTCAACGGACTCTTCCAGAGTGCCCTGGGCAATGGCCCCAGGAGGGAAACTTGCCACATGATGTGACAGGTAGGTAGGTAGGTAGGTAGGTAGGTAGGTAGGTAGGTAGGTAGGTAGAAAGAAAGAAAGAAAGAAAGAAAGAAAGAAAGAAAGAAAGAAAGAAAGAAAGAAAGAAAGAAAGAAAGAAAGAAAGAAAGAAAGAAAGAAAGAAAGAAAGAAAGAAAGAAAGAAAGAAAGAAAGAAAGAAAGAAAGAAAGAAAGAAAGAAAGAGTATGTCTAGACTGTGAGGATCTATTGGAAAAAGATATGCAAAATGTACTCTGCATTTTGTATATCTTTTTCCAATACTTTTGTCAGAAGACGCTTTTCTGAAAGTCTCTCCCTTCTCAGGAAACCTCCCCCCCCCAAAAAAAAAACAAAAACAAAAACAAAAAAAAAAGCGGAAGAGCATATGTGTTCCCTGGATGCAGCAGAGTTTTTTTCAAGACAATGAATTTTACTGAGCATATTGTGGAGGAACTTGGAAGAGCTGGGGAGGTTGAAAGGGATAAAGCAGCAGAGGGAAGGGGACTCAGGAAACATTCAAAGATAAATTACCATCTGCTCCAGGGTTCTCCATGTCACCCAGCAATAAAAACACTAGGACTGAACATATGAAATGGCATGAGAGAGAAGCAAGAAAAGGCAGAAAGGCCTCAAGGGTAAAACCAAGGGGTAGGTGGGTGGAGGAGGAAAGGGTGCAGGAGGGGTGATAAGGAGATGGGACAGGAGGGGGAATTAAAGAACCAAAAGTTTTGAACTGCCGGACCACACAGCAAAGCTGAGCTGGAGGATGAAAGGGAGTTGGGCAAAGAGTGGCAATAAATAAGGCATTTCTGAAGTGCATAAGGAAGAGGAGGTCAATTGTGGAGACAGCAGGGCCTTCAGGAGATGGAAAGGGGACTTAATTGACAGAGAAGATAGACACTGCTAAAAAATTAAATGGCTTCTTTGCCTCAGCACTCACAAAGGGAGATGAGGACAGATGCCAGAAGCAGACATGCCTCTCCCAGGGGACAGAGAAGAAATACTGCAGGAAATCAGGATCACGCCAGAGCAGGTGACTGGGAATGTGGAACAACCCTTAGCAGCAGCGGAGAAACAAACTAGAAGGCAATGATGCTCGGCTGTCCAAACAGAGGTGTGGGAACAGGAAGGAGAAGAAATGAGGCTAACCCTATTTAAAGGACTTGCCAGACTAGACTGGAAAGCTGACAGAAGGTTTGGCCACCTTGTCATTACACATGAACTGCTGCAACCAATCTGCCCATAGGTCCATCCAGTCCAGAGTCCTGGCTCTGACAGTGGCTAGAACCAGCAACTCCAGAGGAAGGTGTAGGAAACACCATACTTATGGGATACCCTCTCATGGGGAACATTTCCTCCCAACCCTGCTGAAGAGATGAGGAAGGGAGAAAAATGGAGGATAAGGAGTGAGATGCAAGGCTGGAAAAGCAGATCTGCACAGCAGGGCAGAGAGCAGGTTAAAAGGGAACATCTTAGATATATGCACTTCACAAGTGAAGAGAGCTGCCTGTGAGCCTATTTAAGCAACCACCAGGGATGCTGACTAAAGCTAAGGAAGGAGCCAGGCACTAAAGGAATCCCATCTATGGCACGAGTTACTACAGGCAGTAACAGGAGGAAGTCACAGGCTCAGTTTTAAGAGAAGGAGCCAAACAAGTGCTGTAGTAATATTGGGGAGGGCACTTCAAACTCCTGGCCTCCTTCCACCCTGGAGTTTACTGTGGTCTCACTTCTGATACTGCTCCAGAAGTGTGTTTGTGTGCATAGGGAGATGTGAGAGATAGGGGGAGGGGCTGGGGAGAGTGGGGGAGGAGAAGGAAGACAGGGAAAGTATGTGGGAAACTCATTGGATATGTGGGCTTTTTCGGGGGATGGTCAAGGCAAGGCACTCTGAGCCTTGGGATCAGGGCCGGCCCATAACATTTTTGCACCTGAGACGGGGAGCTCCAATGATGCCCCCAAGTCCCCTTGCTTGGGCCAAAACTTTGAAAGGTCTCAATTCTGCCTTCTACCTGTTCTGCTCCTCTCATGGCACTGCGCTGCCATCTTTGTGCATCTAGAGCAGAGAGAATACATATGTACCAGCAGCAGACACAATTTTCTACACTCTGGGTCATAGTGGCACCTCCCCCTGACCCCCCACAGTCTGGCCACCTCAGTTCACCTCATGGTAAGGCCAACCCCGCTTGGGGTCCCTGTTTCCTGGAATGAGCGCTAAGTGAACAAACAGGTAGAATTCTCACTATGTTTCAAAATATTAAAAGTTTAGGCTCCTAAAGGGTTATGTTCATCCTCTGCTTTTTATGACACTTGCAACAGTTCAAAACTATTATTTTTTAATGCACAGCATCTGTTTAGTTTTTTAACACAGGAAAGCAAAGACACCACACACTAACTTACACGCACACTCATGAACACGTGCACATACCTGCTAACATATGCCCACTCGGGGCACTGACAACGTCCACCGGCCCTTGGGCAATGTGTGTGGGGGGCTGGCTCCATGCCCCCAGAAGGGGTGTGGCCTTGGAGAGGAGGGGCAGGGCCGGGGGGTCGCTCACAGCACTGACTGGACCATGGTGCTGGAACCCTCCGGTTCTCAGAGGCATGTGCAGCATGCTGCATGGTGCCCTGGTGGCAATTTAAAGGTCTGGTTGTTAGGGCCATGTGGAACATGCTGCGTGGTGCGCGAGTGGAGATTTAAAGGTCCTGAGGCACCTGTCCCATTTGCCCCCTCCCACTGGCAAGCCTGTACCCACTCAATTTCTGCTAATATACAACACACAAACATCCACATACAATTCTATCCACACTTATGTGCAAATACTCATATGCACCCACATGCACTTGCAGTCACAATTCCATACACACCTACCTGCAAACAGATGCACTTTACACACACAAACACATGTGCACCCACGTTCTTTCCCCCACTTTATTTCATTCCCTTGTTTTGTCAACGGGAGCCAATCCCAGGTCTGGCAGGAGTTAGCAAGAAACACGGAGATAAATAAATACTAATAAAATAATAAAGACGTTAGTGTGCTTAGCAAGTGTTTACAGACTTATTACCCTGTAACGATGATGTGAGAGGAGGAGGGAAACCCCCCACCTCAATTACCAGGCAGGGGGATGCCCACAGAAATATTTAAGCAAGAGCTGCCAGAAGCACCATCTGCTCAGGCATGAATGAATGAATGATTAAAGAAAAGAGAAAAAGAAAAAAGAAAAAAAAAGAGACCACTGGAAAAATATTATAAATATACAGGTAGAAATAGACCAGCCCAGCCCAAACTAGCTAAGTAAGTGGTTTTATTTTGTTGTGCGAGACAATGGATTATCCCTGGGCAGCTTTTGGCAATGGCTTTGGCAAACTCATTAAGCTAATTGCGCAGCAAAGACACACTGCCTCCCTCCCCCTGCTTATTTTAAAGCTTTAAACAGTTTTTAACACTGTGTGTAAATTAAAGGGAAGTGGCCAGGCTGCCAAAGGGCAGTTGGTGGAGCTTTTTGTGCAGGAAGTGGTGTCCTAGTGGTGTTCATAATCCTCCTTGGGTGAATTGTCTGAGGCTGGGAGGAAAAGGAATGAGGAGGGGATGGCGTTTAAAAGGGTCCAATGCTTGTGAGAGAAGCTGGAGAGAAGGGGGAAATGCTCCTCTCCACTGTACACTGCTTCCCATGGAGGGTGGCCGAGAGGAGCTCTGTTTCCAGCTTCTAACTGACCCCTCAACACTCCACGGCCGGCAGCAACAGAGGCTGGAGGTTTGGTGACCAGGGAAGGAGCCAGTTTCAGCTCTCCTCAGCGTGCTGATAAAGCAGTCCTTGCTCTCTCTGCCTCCAGCCAGGCAAAGCTAGGCCTAAAACCCTCACCTAGTCCCGGGTTCTCTAAAGCAGCCATCTCAGCCAGGGGCATTGCTGCTGGGGGACTGTGAGGACTGGCCTCTTTCTCTCTTCCCATCTCACCTTCCCTGCTGCCCCTCTCACTCTTACACCAGGGGCTAAGGCAATGGAGGTCAGGGATCACACCTCCCTTCTTCTCCCACAGCTTGGGAGCAGGGATCCCTCACAGCTCCCCCTCCTCCTCGGCTCCAGGGAGCACTCCCCATTCCTATTTAACCCCGCCCATGGCCCACCCTAGGCAGGCTCAAGACCCTGGCACTGACAGGAGCAAGCTTTTTGCTTTAATTTCCTGAGATGAGGTTGGTTTGGCTGCTTGCCCTGAAGGGTGTCAATTCTTGTGCCATCAGATCTGGCTCCCTGGCAGCAGAGACGGAGGGGAGGAGTCATCAGGTTTGGTCAGGGGCTGATGGCATTGCCTAGGGCCAAGGAAAGCTCAGGCAAGGTACTATGGAACCATTTCTTCCTTTTCCTCCAGCTCTGCCAATGTCATTCACTTCTGATCTGCACCAGTCCCCTCCGCTATTCCAACCCTGGGTCTCTCCCCCCACCCTGCTCTCCTAATGCCCCTCACTCCTGGCCGGCAGCCCCCTTGCTGTTCGAGCCTGTAGCCCGTGCACAGCACTGGCACACTGCTCCATTCTACCCCCTTGTCCACGCTGAGCTTCTCCTGTGAATGCCCTGCCAAGCCGTCTGCACTGTGATTTTTATTACAGCAGCTATGGCTGACACTGAGCCCTCCCTAAGATCATCTCCCCTATGACCCCATTTGAACTCAGAAGTGGGTCCCCACAGGAGAACTGCTTGGTATGACCCACTCCAGCACTGAGATGCCAGATACTGAACGGGGTATGGGAGACAGGCCGGAGACCATACCAAGGGGCCAGCCAGGTGACAAGGCCCTGGTTTAAAGCTCAAACCTTTCCACTCTCTCTGTGGCAGGGGTGGGGAACCTTTTTTGGGTTGGGGGCCCCTGACCTTCCGAAAAATCAGCCGGGGCCCCACACAAGCGAGAAGCAAAAAAACCCAATCAAATCCTCAGTGATGTGGCCCCCGACTGAGAAGCAGAAAGACACTCCCCTCGCACACCAGAGCCTGGATGGCCCCAAGCAAGTAGATTTTGTGCACTCCAGCCCCACAGGGGGACGGTGCAGGAGGCAGGGCTGGAGCACCAGCTCAGACTCCCCAGTGCTAGGGGGGGATCCCTGAGCCGCGGAGGCTGGGCCTTAGGTTCCCCACCTCTGCTCTATGGGGTTAGCTAAAGGATGTGAGGAGAAGAGAGCTTGGTTTGATCTTAGCTCCCTGCATATCCCCCTGGCTAGTACTGTCCGGGGGTGGGAGTGGGGGACAGAGTCGGTGTGGATGTCAGAGGGAAATGGAAGACTCAGCGTCCAAGACTGGTTTATACATTTCACCCAGACAGACAGACGAGACCTCCCCCCATCTCATGCCCCCTTCCACCCAGCCTCCTCCCCAAGAAAGCCAAGGGATTTGCCTACCTGGCAATATATTTCTGGTAAATATTTACATCTTCGGTGACAGCTGGTTTGTCAGTGGGTAATCCGTTCCTAATGAGAAACACACAGGGCAGAGCTGGTTAGCAGGCAGTGTCAGGGCATGGTCCAAGCTCCTTGTCTCTCATGCAGCACTGAGTGTGCCAAGGCAGAATGCTCTGGGAACAGCAAGCAGCAGAGATGTATGCCTGTGTAACTCCCTCTCACCCCCACCCGGGTGCCTGCTCTTTCTAGGGGGCTGCTGCTAACGTATCCCACCTACCTCCCTTCCTGCAAGTCTCCGCTCCCCAGGGCTCCATCTTGTTTGCTGAAGGGGCTGAGAAGCCCTACCCTTAAATTATGCTCTCGCAATCATTGCATAGTCACTACTGGCTCTGTCTACACACAGCAAGTGGCCAAGTCAAAATGCGAACCGCCCCCGCTCTGTGAAAACAACGCTCCAGTTTGTAACGCTGGGGAGCTCCAATTGCAGAATGGCGGGAGAGCACACAGCTGATCAGGGCACCACAAGTGCCGGTTTGCACTACAGAACAGAACCACACTGCGACATTTACCACAGGGCCCCCACAACATGGCTGCACCACAGATGGAGCTTTCCCTGCATTCCCCAAACTTCCTGCCAGCAGCCCTGCCTCTTGGGCGTGGGGCACCTGAACATGTACCCACTAGTCCAGCTGCAGATGTAGCTTTGTAATTCAAAATCGAACCCAAACTGCAGTCAGGCATCACGTTCCCGTGGACACGCCTCTCTTTCTTAAAACCAGAAAGCACGTCATGGTGGCAGTGCCGGCAAGAGCCATTCTTGTGCCCCAGGCAGTGGGTGCGTGGCGCATGCGTGGCCCCCGCCCCAGAGCGCACGGCACCCCTTACAGCTGCAATCAGGCGCCCCCCATAGGTTGGCGCCCCGGCTAACCCCCCCCTTAAACCTGGCCCTTCATGGTGGATGTTCTCCAGCAACGGAGAGGTGTTGTCACACAGCAGCCCCAGCCTGCTAAATCATGGCTGCTGCGCTTACAGCATTCGCTGATGAGAGAATGGGCTGCAACTGAGCTTCCTCCTGTATCCTTGGGCACCTGACGAATGCATGGCGGGCCACACCTTGGTTAAACCAGGACACCTATAACGTGCACATTGGTCATTTGAAGTCAGTACCTAAGTTTTGCCCCGGTTAACAGCATTAGGGGTTAGAAAGTTCGCACCCTTAGCTTGCAGCATGTGTATGCGAGGGGGTGGTTCCCACAAGGTTTTGGCCCTGGAGGGGACTCTGAATGGAAGACCAGGTCCCAACTCACGGAATTAGCACCATCCTCACTCGCACAGTTAAAAGTCTGCCTCCTGCACCACTCACAGCTCCCTGGGACACTGCTCCGGATGTCTCGCAGCCATCTTTCAGATCCCCACAAGGACAGTAGAGTGCGGGAGGGACCCCCTGAGCTGGGAAATGTAGCGCAGTCCCCTGCTGGGGTTGTGGGCAAGAGGGGCTGCATTAGCATCCCAGAGAGACAGAGACAGAGCATGCCACGATTGGGAATGCATATCAGCGTCCCACCCACATGGCAGGGCTGCGTTGGGCAAAGCAAGGATGCGGGTGAACATCATGTCCAGGCTACACACAGGTGAGGTCAGCTAATGGGCGAGGGAGAATCCTGATATTTGTTATTGGCCTGTGTCCAGTTCAGGTGCCACATGTGTAAAGACCACAGGACAGAGAGTAGATTCTGGTGGAAGTGGGTTCCATAGGGACCATACCTAGTGGGCACTAGCTAGAGCCCAGAAAAAGGAGGAATCACAGCCCCATGGGAACACCACCCTGAGCTACAAAGGATAAAACACACCAGCAGGCACCTGTGTGTGTGACAAGAAGAAGTCAGGAAGAACCCTCAGTCCAAACCCCATTGCCAGCTGCACCCCCACCAGCATTTCTCACTTCCTCCGGCCCCAGGGAGTCCTGTGGCTAGAGAAGGGAATCACTGAGCCACTGTGAAGCCCACCTGCCATGGAACCGAAAGGGCGAGAGGCCGAGAGAAAGGAAATAAAACGGGGATCCTGATGAGAAGCAAAAGCAAAAGCAAAGCAAGGCTGGGTGAGCAGCCCCCGGTACAGCTCCAGAATTCCCAACACACATGGGGCTGGGACCGGAGACACCCAAGGGGCATTCGGGTGTCCTTGAGACTCTTGATTGGCTTCCTCTGTCAAGGAGCCACAGACCCGGGGACTGAGCACATATACATATTTATAATCCAGCGTTCATAACAACAGCAGCCCCCGCCCGCTGTCTGGAGCAAGAGACACCGATGAACCCAGGAGTGAGCGAGCGAGCGCTCAGAAAGGAGGCATTTACAATGGGCTATGGCACAGCTGGGAGCCTAGCACACAGTGGGAGCCATAGGCTCCACAGCACAGCCAGCAGAGTGGATAACGCTGCCATCGAACTACAGACGTGCCACACAGCAGACAGGATATTTTGGGGTGGTTAAAGGGCTCCCCAGACTGAGGGCAGGTGAATTTAGCTACAACTGATAATAAACCTTTGCCCTTTTCCAGACACTTTTAACCATCGGAGCTCAAAGCTGTCTGCAAACAGTAATGTATTAATCTGTGCCACGCAGGCGGTAGATATCCTTACCTCTACCTTACAGGGCATGGCATTTGGGTGGACTCAATGGAATCTCTCAGCCGACGACATGGGGCATGCGGGTGCTGGCCCTGATACAAACACCCAATGGGGACTCCTGGCTGACATAAAACAGACCAATGCACTGAACAAGCAGTACAGCCATACGGGCACACATCAGAAAGTCCCAACTGAGTTCCACAAGCCAACGCCGTGGGTTGTGCTTAAACCAGAACCAGTGGAAAGGCAGGAGGACCGGAAAGCAGGAGTCTCTCCTCTTATCAGGGGCTGCTCTCACAGGGGTCTCTGCGGTGAATATGTGGGAGCAACCCAGGCAGCCACAATAACAGGTGACAATAACTCACTCACACCAAAAAATTTTCATGCCTCAATAAGGCACCAAGTGAGAGGCAAGAGAATCCAAACCAAGGAAATGGAGCAAACCACACCCCTTCCTCCTTATTTGCTCCCAGACATTCTGAGATTCAGGGTCAGAAGGGATCATGTGACACCTGGTACCGGGGCAGCAGAATTTCCATTGCAGAAACACCTTGTTGAAAATCTAGACCTGGCCACAGATGCCCCCTTCACCACATGACCTCAGAGTGTGGAAAGGACAGGACTGTCAGACATGTAGATGAACACGATATACTGGAGAATAGCCAACTCAGCTTTTGTAAAGGAGAATCTTGCCTCACTGTTCTATCAAACAAGGGAGTGGACTTTCAAAGAGCTTTCAGTGGTCTTCCTTGGACTTTCAGAGAGCATTTGACAATGTCCCACACCAAAGGCTCTTAAGCAAGGTAAGCAGTCATGAGATAAGAGGGAAGGTCCTATAAAGGATCAGTAATTGGTCAAAACATAGCAAACAACGGGGAGGAATAAATGGTTAATTTTCACAGTGGAGTGAGGTAAATAGAAGGCCCTCCCTCCCCCACAAGACTCTTATGGGAGCCCAAGGCTATTCAACATATTCATACATGATCTGGAAAAAGGGGTGAACAGTTAGGTGGCAAAGTTTGCAGATGATACAAAATTACTCAAGATACCTAGGTCCAAAGCTCACTGTGAAGAGTTATAAAGGGATCTCACAAAGCTGGGCACCAAAACGGCAGATGCAATTCAGTGTTGACAAGGGCAAAGTAATGCATATTGGAAAACATAATCCCAACTCCACATTTAAAATAACGGGGTCTAAATTAGCTGGTATCACTCAAGAAAGAGATTGTGGCATCATTGTAGATTTCTGAAAACATCTTCTCTGTGTGAAGTGGCAATAAAAAAGCTAACCATGTTAGGAATCAGTAGGAAAGGGATAGATATTGGGAGAAAAAATATTACAATGCCACTATATAAATCCATGATACGCTCACCACTTGCAGTTCTGGTTGGCCTACCTCAAAAAACATTTGAATTGGAAAAAAGTACAGAAAAGTACAATCAAAATGATAAAAGCTATGGAGCAGCTTCCATACGAGGAGAGATTAAAAAGACTGGGACCATTCACCTTAGAAAAGGTTCTACTGGGGGATATGATAAAGGTCCGTACAATCATGAATGGTGTGGAGAAAGTGAAAAAGGAAATGTTATTTCCCCCTTCACCTAACAAAAGAACCTGGCATCACCCAGTGGAATCAATAGGAAGCAGATTTAAAACAAACACAAGGAAGTATTTCATATCATGTTCAGGCAACCTGTGTAAGTCATAGCCCAGGGATGTTGTGAAGGCCAAATGTAGAAGTGGGTTCAAGAATTAATGAATTTCATGGAGGACAGGTCCATTAGTGGCTATTAGCCAACATGGTTAGGGATGCACCCCCCTGTTCTGGGTGTCCCTAAACTTCTAATTGCCAGAAGCTGGTTCTAGACCACAGGGGATAGATCACTTGATAACTGCCCTGTTCTGTTTATTTTCTCTGAAGCATCTGGCACTGGCCACTGTTGGAAGACAGGTTACTGGGCAAAGTGAACCTGCCATGGCTGTTCTTATGTTCTTATGTGTGGGAAGAAGGCACAAATGTGAATGTTGAGCCATTTTCCATTAACTGAATGCTGGGGGAAAATGCCAAATTGATGGGAGAGTCCAATGCTTTTTATCTACAGAAGCTTAGTGGAAACTGTACTACAGGTGCCAAGAGGGACGGTGGGTGGGTTTGTCAGGCATGGCATGACATGCCTCGACCTCTCGAGGCCCCTTCCAGTTCTAGTGTTCAATGATTCTATGTCAATCTCCCTATCAAATCTGGAGAGAGTTTTTACTAAACCATGTAAGAAATGGGCCAGATTGAAAAGATACATTTAAGTGAAGTCATAGGAATTACCCAACTGACTTCAGGATCACTGGAAGAGGAGTTATGATGGTTGAAAGAGTCAGCAGTCCTGGTGCATATGTGATTGAGAGTGAAGACGACAACACAGTTAACTAGTTTGTATAGCTCAGAAGCACAATCAGTGCTGCTGGCCTTCCCCATAAGGAAATAAAAGCAAGATCCGGGAAGATAAAGCTTTTCTGAGAATTGCAAATCACTGGAAAAAGAGAGAGATTCACACAGAACCAAGAAAAATCACTATGAGATCCACTGGTACATGCATCCAAAACTTGGCAAATGTCAGAAGCCCATAATAAGAAATGTAACACATTCCATCTGAGATGCTTGCAAAGTATACTTGGGTTTGCTGGTGGGATAAAGTAACCAATGCTGACATGTTATAAAGGACTGGTCAACAGACAATGATTCGAGAAAGAAGGCTGACTGTCGTTCTGGGGTAAAAACCCCCAGTGTTTCTAGACAAGCCCTTGACTGGATAACACTTGGTGGAAGGAGAAGAGGAGGAAACAGATGACCTATAATAAAACCATTGAGAAAGATGTTGCTATCTTGGAAACAGATTACAATGGAGCAAGAAACGTGGCATTAGGCAGATGGAGGCGGAAACACTGGGTTGCCTCATGTGTCACAAAGCACAGGAACATCTAATCTAATAATCAAATCGCTGACTTCAATGGGAACAGAATTGGGCCCTAATCCAGGCAGGGCTGGCTGTTGAGGAGATTTGGAAGACAGAGAGAAAGAAAGCAGCCATGATTCTGACCTCTTAGTGTCGATAACAGCTCTCCCATCTGCCTCTTGTTTCCACAGACATGGAGACTGAGAGATCTGTGCATGGCTATCGGAGCTGATGGGCTTAGGAAGACTAGAACTTCATCAATGCTGGGGATTGTTCCTCACACCCCATTTTCCTTGCTTACAATCAGAGACATTAGGGATGGGGAGGGCCTAGCCATCTCCCAAACATTGCAGGCTAAGTTCCTAGATTTAAATGTCCCAAATAACAGGATTCCCGCCATTTTCCTTGGGAGACCGCTCCACAGCCTAGTAACTCTGGTTAACATGCTCTAAGTTTCCATGGCTTCCTATGTCTTTCCTTTAAAGTGCTTGGCTCTAGAACTCAGCTCATGGCTTCAGATGCTGATCCTAGCTTTGCCCTATGGCAGTGGTTTTCAGATTTTTTAGGCTGCGTACCCATTTCCAAATAACGTAGTCTAAAGCACACCCCCATCTGAGATCTGGTCATAATATCCTGATGAAAATAGAAAAAAAATTTCCATGGTACACTGTCTGCCATTACAAGATTTTTCTCACTTAGGGTACGTCTAGACTACAGGCTTTTGTCAACAGAAGTTTTGTTGACAGATACTGTCGACAAAGCTTCTGTCGACAAAGAGCGTCTAGACTACATTCAGTTCTGTCAACAAAGCAAGCTGCTTTGTCAACATGGCAGTGTTGACGCAAAGAACAGTTTAGATGCACTAACGCCTTCTGTCAACAGAACTCTGTCGACAAAAGGCGTTATTCCTCGTAAAATGAGGTTTACCAGCGTTGACAAAACTGCTGAGTTCTGTCGACCTTATGTCGACAGAACTCAGCGGTAGTGTAGACGCAGGGTTAGTTTTGTCGACAAAAGTCCACTTTTGTCAACAAAACCTTGTAGTCTAGACACACCCTTACTCTCTGATGAGAGCTCACATACTCCAGTTTGAAAACCACTGCCCTCTGGGAACTGATAACCCCACTTCTTTTCTCTACTGTCTTCCCAGGCACAATAGCTTAGGCTCAGAATGGGAATTGGGACTGTGAGAACCAAGAAGGCATAAGGCTAAAGCATCCAAGCAGTCCCTCTTCCCATGCCCCAAGCTTGCATGTATTAGCTAGTATTTCAATCAAAAAGCTCCTATTGAAGAAACCAAAGGGAGGACAGTGTCTGAGGATGGCAAACATCCCTTTAAATTGGCCCCATTAACTGGGTTTATTTCCCCGACTAAAGCAAAGAAAAGAAAAATGGGAGGAGTCTTACTTGACTGTAGAGACCGTCCCAGTCGTGATGGAGTCCGTCTTGGAGAAGGTCGACTTCAGGTACTCAGGGGTGTTGAATGGCAAGGAGACGGGCTGCTCAGGGCCAGCCACTGGAGTGCTGCTGGGGGTGCTGGCGAGAGGGTTGGGAGCCAGGCTAGGTGTTGGAACCTTGACTGGAGTGAGTTTCTGGATGTTCCTTACATCGTACTTGGATGGCCGGCCCACCTTGCCTGTCTTGAAGGCAATGGCTCCTCCCATGTCTGGACTGCCCTCACCAGGCTTAAAGAGGTGCAAGTACTTGACATTCTCCAGGTCATACTTGGAGGCCTTCTTGTAGGTGTTGCCATTCTGTGGCCTGAGGCTCTCACCTGTCTTCAGCTTCTGAATGAAGAAGTCGTACTTGGAGGCCCGTGACATCAGACCCTGCATCTGGGAGCTGCTGGGAGAGGGCAAGGGCAGGATGGTGGCTTTGGTCTCTGTTAGCAGGGTAGCATCTGGCCCTGGCAGTGCTCGGATAGGTTGTGTCAGCACTGATGAAGCCTCCTTACCCAGCTTGGAGCTCAGCTCATCAGACTTGGCCGGGTGGATGGGCCAGGAGAGCTGCTCACCGGCCTTGAGCTTGCGGATATACTCCTCATATTTGGAGAAGCGGGCTCGCTTGCTCATGGCGTCCTCGCCTGGGAGGGAGGCGGCAGCGGCAGAGGCCTCTGAGGTAGCAGCATTCAGCTTGTCAAAGCTGATCTTGCGAGTCAGCTCGTCCCGCATGTTCTGGTCATTGTAGCCAAACATGCCCAGGAACTCGTTCATGGTGGTGGCGGCGTAATCCCGCAGGGACGAAGCTTCCCCTGCAGAGAGACAGAGGCACAAAGAGTCATGCAAGGGGTGGATTCTCCTCTTCTGTACCAGCATTGGCAGTGGGTGGGGGGGGGATAAGAGAGGGGGAATATGATCTACTGACGTTTGGCTCACTTGTTAGGTTTTACGACTCTTAAATTAATTTGTTTTAAAAAAAGTAATTAATACTGGGGTAAAATAAAAAGAGTTCATCAATGCCAGGAAAATCAATTTCCTAAATGTTCTAGCCGATGGCTTTTCAGTACATTAAACAAAGTTTCATAAATGTCTCTGCACTCTTGCCTTGGCCTAATATGAAGAAAAAGTAATTTTACTGAAAGTGAGGCCAGGGCTGATATGCCAGGGTTTATGCAGCTCCAAGCCAGTGGGGTGCATATATGCAGGGGAGGGGCGGCATGTGTTTGGGGCAAAGGGAGAGGGACAATGGGGGAATGGAGCCGGTAGGAGGCATGAGAAGAGAGAGGTAGAGATGTGGTGATGAGCAGGTGAGAAATAAATGGAGGAGGGGTGAGGAGGTGAGTGAAGGTGAGACAAGAGGGACAAGGGGAGGTCGGAAAGGAAAAGGCTGAAGGGCGGGATGAATCTCCATGGCAATAGTTCTTCACCTATCTACCGTGTTGGGCCACACAAGCGGCAATGTGTGTCATGTGGGTGACATCCACACATTATATATACTAGCCGTATAGCCCTGAGGCTATCATAGGGGGCGTGGCTGTGTGCTGCTTGGGCAGCAGCTGGAGAACCACCGCTCTATGGCCACTCCCACCTCTGCCATTGTTTTTCTAAAGCTCCTCTTAAGCATTTCTCTCTGAGGTCTGACGGGTGGGATGGGGGCCCCCAGTGACCCCAAAAGACATCCACTCCAACTCCTGCCATTGTTTTTCTAAAGCTCCTCTTAAGCATTTCTCTCTGAGGTCTGACGGGTGGGATGGGGGCCCCCAGTGACCCCAAAAGACATTAGAGTTTCTGTGCCATTGTTTTTCTAAAGCTCCTCTTAAGCATTTCTCTCTGAGGTCTGACGGGTGGGATGGGGGCCCCCAGTGACCCCAAAAGACATCCACTCCAACTCCTGCCATTGTTTTTCTAAAGCTCCTCTTAAGCATTTCTCTCTGAGGTCTGACGGGTGGGATGGGGGCCCCCAGTGACCCCAAAAGACATTAGAGTTTCTGAAAGATGCCTGTCTCCCTGCCCTGAGCACCCCTCAACCCA